CACCATGCATGACAAAGGCATTCGCTGAGTCTCGTCCAAATGACATATGGACGCACTTTCCGTCATTCATAGGAGGTGCCAATCAAACGACCACTGCTTTGCAGCGTCTACATCAATTTAGAGGGCACTGGCGTTCGATAGCCTTGGAAATTCGCTCACTTAAGCAACCCACCCATGTGAATAATTTACAGAAAAGTTCATTTTACATACACATTCTACACTGTGAAATGGCAACCCTGAATTCGTGGTAGCTATTGAGAAATCTATTACATTGTACGAATACTGAGCGGCTATCTCGGGGATCTCTTAACAGAATCCCCGAAGAATTACCAGGTCTGTTGAGCTTGCACGGTTTCTGTTACTTGTTATAAACAACAGCTATTTGGTTTCATACTCTTCTTCTCCCTAGCTTACCGAACGAATGTAATTATTTATAAAACGTTTGGGTGTTGTTTGAGTTCGTCAAATGGCGGAGAGGTTGTGAAGACGCCTCCTCTTCAATGCATGTGATGATTAACCGTGTTTTGCAGCAGTTTGCGCTCCCAGATTGGACCTGTTACTCAGCATAAATATGGTGGTTTCAGAAGACGATTCTGAAGAGAGTTACGGGCCATTTGTATGCACACCCTACTTGGTACGTGCTTTGTTGCATTCAGTATTCGGCGGTTCCATTTGAATAGGATAAAAAAGGGGCCACTGCGTTCCGAGGCGCAGGAGCAGTCATTGGCGCCCTTTTGTTGCATCTCACGTATGGTCACTTCTATACAATGGGTAAGTTATTCAGACGTCAGCTTACAAACCGATCAGCAAATATGGCACCTTATATCATGGGGTATTTGATGACAAGCGTCAATTCAGCTCTTGACAGCAGTCTAGCTGTATGGTAGTCCATTATATCCCTGGGAATCCAAAGTGTGTGTATGCCACTGGATGGCTTGTTTTGCTCAACCTTTGGATATCGCTGGATTGTTGGGTTGAGTTGCCTCACTGAGAGGTGAGTTCTTGTATACACTTAGGTTTAGTGTATTCATTCTTATTCTGGCCATCAGAAGACTGCTGATTGGTCACTGTAATTTATGTCTATTCATTAACATCCGATTGAACGCCGAGTCGAATCTTTATGTTTACGAGGTAATTATCATCGTCAGTGGAAGATAAGTGGACGAAGCTTACCGTGTTACTAAAGTTAACAAAGCAAACTAAAGTTGGAAATAAACATAGAATGCGGCTTAACTGAAGAACGAGTGAAGATGAAAACCCTTTAACCTCAATAAATCACGGAGTAGCGACTCAGTCTAATAATGGAAGCAACAATCAGGGCCAGTAAAAACGAGGCACCGGTCGGGCCAACGAAGGCATCGTTGTACAAAAGAGAACGATAAATGGACAAAAGAAGCGATACACCATTAGAAAACAAAGTGAAACCACAGTTCAGACACAAGATGTAGTTACCTCGTTTATAAATTTAACATGTGCTGGATGTTATTGATGATATTCCCCTCGCAACACTGGGTAGTAAGTTATTCAACCAGTGAAGGGGTGACAGTACGAGTCGACAATATAATCAACGCATTTGCATGCAGTATCCTGGATTTACACGGCTCTACCCGATGTTCGCGTATTGAAAATTTGTTAGCTGTTCGAAGAAAACCTTTTAGCTCCTTTGTGAGGTTTTTATGACGTATTTCGTGTTGCAAGTTTTGTCGCTTCCATGCCTCCTGTGGATGAGAAAGTACAGCCCATACCTGTATAGTATCTCAGGGTGTAAAAGGTTCCTTAAACCTATGACTCGTGATATTTCACTGTGCAGAAAGTCGAGAGAATTTTTTATTCGGGTAATAAAATGCCGGGTACCGCGAGCGAGATCAGGAAATATATCGCAAAAGTTCGTGTTTTTTCCCAACAATCGTCCACTGGAATAACAGGAGCAAGCGTATGAATAAGATATCTGTACCCAGATCTTCATCAAGCATAATGAGGCACTTTTATGACTACAGCATTGTCCAAAATGAGCCTACCCGTGTCTAATATTCCTCAAACAAATGGCCTCCAGGTAATATCTGTTGAACTTCCCCAAGCTACATAGAGCGTAATTCTGGCCTACCTAATCCAGCGAGGTAGTTTTTCCATCGTCAGGCGGATTTTAGTTTTATTTCCCCACGTTTATGGATTGGAGCATCTTGACGCACGTGATTAATTCGGGTGACTAAGAATGAATCTTAGTTATGTATTTGCATAAATATTTTCCGGATATTTTTCCAAATATTTTTGTCGGATCTCCGGTGGTCTCTTGAAGAGTTTTGGGGATCAAACAGATTAAAATCAGTCTTGAAATTTTCATTTACTTTGTCTTTAAAAGTGATATCTTAAAGTCTTTTTGAACAGGTGATGAAGATAATATAACCATCTTTGACACCATTTACTCACCCCCTTCGTGTAACTGTGATTAACGAAAATTCCCGGGTTTGATGGAAGCCTGCACGGATTGCGCATCATAATAACGACATAAGGAGTTGCTTATAAGAAAAAGTGATGGTAGGTAGTACTTAAGACTCTAAAGTAAAATCATTTGATGACTGTTTATCGTGTATTTCAGTTTAATGACCTTGAAAATGGTAATCTAGTCGAGTGCATGCGGTTTTTTTATGTTGCCATTCCAAAAGAATAGAACCCGCAATATATTTACCGTGTTGTTGTTTGATTATCCTAAAATTTGACGATTTATATCCACTGATTGCCTTTTCACTATTAGGGTTACTGATTCAAGATACGAAACGAACTAGGCAAATTACACGGTTTGCAGAACATTTTGTGGAATCTTTTGAGGAGCATCTTCCAAAGAAATAACTCCAGAAGGGCAAGATAAGACCGTTTTCTAATGTTTAAAAGCAATAAGAAACCTTCCTTCTACGCGGAGACTCTTTTATTTCTTTCTGTTACAGTTTTAATACTATTGTAACTACCGCCAGCATTGATGTCTGGGTATTCATCGAGCGATGGCAACGGGAAGTAAGGGCAGACCTGCTTATGAAATCAACGGTGCTTCTTCGGAATCTTTAAATCAGATCAAAATGATTCCGTACTATTGTGGCTTTTTACTATTTTAGTTATATTGACAGCTGAACTCCGCGAATCCGAACAAATTTTAAAGAGTAAATTGAGGACGTGGCTTGCTGGCTGGTTTTCCTTGAGAAGCGGATAACGCTTAGGTGAAAGCTTGCACTGTTTCTACACCAAACGATTACATTTGCTGTCTTTTGTCCAAATTGCGAGTATCTACCAGAAAACCACATATTTTCATCTCTAAGCTCATAAATTCCTTGCGGTGCTCCAAAGTACTAGGATGTTAAGATTGCCGAAGGATGAAAGCGAACAGCCAGTTGTGGTGATCATCATCGTCAGCTGTAATAACCGCGTACCTGCCGTACGGTGGTTGTAGCTGCCACAGTTTCGTTCACCGCTGACTCGGGGAGGTGGGGTAGGTAGCTGCGCATTGGAGGCGGGAGCTGATAAATTAGTGCATAAATACAGCATTGTAGGTGGACTGTTAAATGGGGGATTAAGCAGAGAGTTATGCATTGAAGGCAATAGCTCGGATGCACGAGCGTCATTGAGGGCGCGACCGTGCCATGTGTGATAATGTCTCTTACCATTGATATGGCCCGTCCCGGTTCCCCCATCCCGGAAGACGGCAGTGACCGGCGCAGCTGAGTTTGCAGGTACTGGCCTTTATAATTCTCTGCAAAGTCAGTGCTTGACCGCCTCTGGCTCTCCTCCACCTTCCAAGTGGTTTGTGCCAAAAAAGCCACTCGAGAAGTCGGTCGACTTTGCATACGCAACACGTGGCCAAGCCAGCACAACTTATGCAGTGTGATCAGTTTATCTATCGAGGGTGAGTTATTTTTCCCACTTGTGGTGAGATGCTCATATGCTGCGATCTACTGCGGTTACGAAGTGCAATCACGTAAACGCGAGTTGAAGATGAGCCCTTTGTTTACAATAAAAATAAATAATAATAATACGGTTGTCTAGCTATGGTATTCCTTTGGTGCCATGCTACTTCGCTGAAGCCGCTATACATCACTTCTCGGCTTCTCTGCATCAACGATTTAACTTGAGACAGAGTTTGTTTTCTTTTTAGTTAAGGATTATCTACGGCCCAGGAGCAACAGAAGAAATCATTAAAATGTGAGTGAACTGGAGACAATAAAAATTTGTCTCAAGCACGGTTACCTGCATTTTGTTTCAAGGTAGTTAAGTCATTTATACCTCATATATTTCCTCTCAGTTTCTAGGAGAGAAACTTCTTTCACAGAAGTCAGGTTCTTCTGTAACCTTCATCAGATTAGTTTGACGTGATCTCACACGCTGATGTGTAGGCATTATTTCAAATGGTTATTACAAACGTGTACCAAAGACATGGAATTTGGTTTGCTGTATATCAAGAGAGCGGATTAATCTAAGAGTGTCATGTAATGCTGTCAAAAACATCTAATGTAAATAGTAAAATACTCAATTCAAGGCACTTCCGAGGTGGGGGTTTCTCATAAAGATTCATGGCTTATTTTGTGGTGTCCTGCCTTGGAAATTGTCCCTTTAAAATCTTTCCGTGGGTGAGGGCATCGTAATTACTGTGACATATTTCTTAAGTTTATTGTCTTGAAATATTTATTGAACCCGCGAAATGCATCACGATATGTAGCACTAATGAACGCTTGCGCTCATCTTCACATCCCTATAATGAAGTTACATAATTTTTAATAGAGTGAAGACAACTAGATTTTCGTCATATTATCTGATTCGTCTGCTGTGATGCTCATCCATTCTAGTGCTTTAGTCTACTGCCAAACAGTCATGCATAAAGCCAAGCATACTAAATTCTGGAAGTAGCCTAATAAACAGGTGACTGAAAAGAATCAGTCTGATACTTGCCAACTATTCCGGCAGTTGGATCAATCCATATCTTATTTAGAAAACTGACTAATGAGTGCGAAAGCACTAGAAAGGGCACGCTGTCCAATTGTCGTTTTCCCTTGCAGGCTATTTAAGGATAAAGCCGTTTTGGATCAAGTGCACTCCGTTTTCTACCTTCTCGGTGGCGTTTGTTAGTTATTCAGCTGATTAAATTTCAGGTGTCCAAATGTCGTTTTCCCTTGCAGGCTTTTTAAGGATAAAGCCGTTTTAGATCAAGTGCCCTCCGTTTTCTGCCTTCTCGGTGGCTGTTTGTTAGTTATTCAGCTGATTAAATTTCTACTGCTAACGCGGCGTCCAGCGAATCTTGGGGTAAGTGGCATTACGCGATTTGGCAATAGTTGCTTGGCTAACGAAAGTTTCCACATTAGATACGCCTAAAGTACCTCGGGTGTAAGATTCTGAATGACTTCTTTTTACTGTAGACTACTTGACCAGCAAAGAAATAACATGCCTCAGATTTATTGGCGCAGGAATGCTTGGTATCAGCAAAATAAGGCGGGTAACCAGACCCGTAAGAAGAGTATGGAACTGCAGTGACGCCAGTATAAATTTAGTTGTTGACCAGTGTGCAGTAGGTAGTTTGGCTGTCGCACCGCCTAATAAAAAATACCTGTTTGGGAACGAATTTCTATACTACGGATTACACAACAGTTATGTGCACAGAAACGCCAAGTCAAAACGTTATTCGAAGCGGTCCCGATTAGATTTTGCTAAAGCATTGGCACAATGGAATGGCGCAGTGGAATCTTGCTCACTAGGAAACAGCAGACTGGGCCAAAAGTAGAAGCCATGCTTAAAACCACCACATTGCGAACCATCGTAACTTGTCGGAGGCTGCTGTAAATCACAGTTGGCTAACCACTTTCGAAACAACAACCACAACTTTGACATAACACAAAAGAACTGTATGCTTTAGAATCCATTTGTAAAGTACAGTTTGTGTTGCTAATAGTCGGAGCTGAATTCCAATGAACTTATTTAACCATTAAATTTAAAAGTCAGATCCTTAGCCAAGCTGAAACATTTTGTGGGCAAAGTTCTATGTTCCCGAACATCCTAACCACCTGTGATTCATTTTATGAGCAAGCTGATTCCTTCGAAGAAGATGCCTCAATAACTCACAGTTCATAGTGCTATGGTTGTAATTAAGTGATTAAAATAATACCCAATGTTTTGATCGCATAAAGGAAGAACATTAATTAGACTATGCAATATAGGTATGTAGGAACAATCTGAGGATAAAACTACTAAATATTCGAGATTATTTTTGACACAAATGTGTTGAAATGCTTGGTGTACACAAGCCGTATGGTTTGTCATTCTATTTATCTCTTTAGTTCAGTGGTCTGAAGACCCCTTCTGATAAGTGTGGATGAAGGGCCGTAACACCACTTTACTTTCACTCACGAGTAGAACAGTCATTCTCACCCCTCAATTAAGACGTATCGGACACGCCAGTAGCTCGGTATCGATGGGAAAATGATAAGTTAGAAAACACTCTGTAACCTCTGGGCAAGAGCGCCAGAGGTTGTTTTTGCTGTATAGACTGACGAGTAAACTTTCTCGGGTGCTTAGTAAACAGCTTCTCATGTAGGTTTAATCCGCCGGTCAGTACCTCACGAGATTCAACGTATATCCCATCAGTATCCATTCTTTCAATAAAATCTCCCCATGTACAGCTCTCCCTCTTGGTTGTGAGCAACTGTGATTAACGGACTAAGGGTTAATCACAGACAACTAAACATTACACGTATGATTCTCGTTTTAACCATATGTCGTTGAATTCAGACAATAATCCAACTACTAAACAGTCGGAAAGTTTGATGGACTAATATTCGGTTCTCTTTTTATTGGAGATTGAAATTCTACCGCATTTTGGAAGGGAATGGATTCTGAAAAGCTCATCCACAGGATCTTGTTAACCAAATCTAGATGTGGAGAGATCGGAAACGTGATCTAGTTAACTGCAGACTACATATCCACTCACTAGCTTGTGCAACCGGTGAATTTAACTGGTGTGGTTCTTAACCATGCCAGTTTCTGACTACAAAAACGCAGCCATCCAACTTAGTAGTCTCTCCAACAACTAAGATCAGTGTGTGCCGCTCCTAGTTACTCCCTAGCAGTCATTTTGATAGCAGCAAGCAGCTGGAAAATAGTTTACTCCGACTACGGAGTAATAGGCTAGAAGGTGTTTCGTTATTTGATAAGTGCGACCGATATGCTGATACGCTGATATGCTACGGAACGTGAATCCCACCATAGTCGCGGGAGCATATGTCCGACCGGAAAACATTATTATTTGTTTTTGACAAAATCGGTAGTCTAAACTTTGGACAGTTCCCCTGCTATGACCATGAAGTAAACATCTACAGTGTCTAAATTCCTCGAACACATTTGTACTTGTTTTTCAGAGGCATCGTTTTTCTTATTTGCCGAGCTAAGCGAGAGGTAGGCTGTAAGCGACATTTGGTTAGCCGTGTGAACACTATGCTTGAGCTAGTTTCTATCCGAAATTTGTAAATGAAACAGGAAACAGTAGAGAACCTGTAAGGAATGTTACTATCACGATTTCATTACTAATGTCATACACTGGACTATAGTCATCTATCCTGTGGGCACTCACAACTTTACTGACAAAATTACTGGCTTCTCTGGGGCACGGACGCTTCAGATTCATTTGAATTTTACATCCAGTTAACCACTTTACCATCCATATCATCCACATTTCCGGTTTATATGTATTAAACAACCGGCATCGTCTTCTCCGAGTGACGCTAGTTTATGAGGAGTACTGAAACAAGGGTTTGACTGCCAGAGAGAGACGCGAAACGATGAAGCACAGAAAACCATTTACTACGACTGCTGACTGAACTAAGTGGATTGAGCCCTGGGTGAAGCCCCATGCGCCTACAGGCATGGCAATCAATGGACAGGTATCAACTGATGTGGAGCGATTGACGACGTTTCGACATGTCCCGAATATGGATTGCGTGACAGCACTTTGTGGAAGAACTTAGACATAATTGCTTGGTAGACGCTGCTCCGTCTTACCTCGTGTACGTCCATATCTACACGATTGTGTTTCCTTGTGCTGATTCGCATACCGAAACAAGGCTTTGACTGCCAGAGAGAGACGCGAAACGAAACAAAGTCCTACAATGCGATCAAATTTCCCCAAACGTGCGAAAAGCTGCGGAGATTTTTGAAAATCGCTCCTCTAATTCCATAGCTTTATCGCGAGAACAGATTATCAAAACATTGTGTGCTAGTACAAGACTGTATTATCCACTGTAATGGAGCAGTAGAGAGTTCCAGCTTTAAAGTAAGGCTTAGCGGTGCTGCGCGTGTTGCCTGTTAATTTGGGGTAGCCCGACACTGGAGGTGAGCTCGTTTTGCTGTCTGCTTAACACCATTCGGTCATGTTGTAGCAGCTGACCCACCTCCAATGTAGCATTTTCTCATTGTACAACCGTACTGTTTCTCAAACGTCTAAGAACACATAGAATTTGCAGTCTGATAGTCGTTTTCCATCGTGTTTTACTCTTTGATCTGACGCACCTGTAAATCTAGAGTTAAAAGAGATAGCTGAGGAAAGACTTGACTGAAATGCGTTGCACTGACGTAGTATTCCTTCTTCGGACTGATTTCTTAAGACGACACGGATTTTGTTCCAGTGTATTCTGCTATTGGGGAAGCAACCGCCTGGTAAAAAGAAAAATACAACCTACTTAACTACGCACTGATGATATCTCCTCATATCGTGAGGAAACTTTTGCAAGCCGGTTGCGATATTCGGCGAACAGATCAACCATCATCCGATCAACAACCAAAACACTTACCCGAGCTACAAGTATTTCAACACATTACCAAAGAAAATAAAAATTTTACCCTCACCCACCCCACCTCCTGATGGCCGTTCTACTCTCTCCAGAAAATGTACTAAGATGCTTATGCCTCATACCGTCTACGCTGACACGCTAGTGGACCGATATATGCATACGTGATACCATGTGCCACCACAAAACCAACCCCTTCTTGAGTGGACTTAAGCTGACTCGGTCGAAAGTTTAGTCCCGCATACACACAACACTATTCTTTGAAGCATTTCGGAATTACACTGCTGAGCAAACGGGATGAAGCAGAAGGATAGTGTGATGAACATGACTGATACTCTATTCGTTGCTCTATTCATTATTCTCTTGTTTCAATATTCCATATGCTGTACATATTCGCCAATTCGAATACATACGTGCTGGTTGTTACGCTTCGCTGAATTCTGGATTTCTAGTTTGTCGGGTTGTACCGATATATGTACGAAACTTAAATCTCACAGATAGGATAAAAAATGCAGAAAACCAAGTAGTTATCGGGTCCGCGTTTGTAATCTTGGGTTGGTGTCAAATGCCCCGTTGGAACCCTATAAGACCACGTGTATTTCGAAAAATTCCGGTGAACATAGTTGAATATTGTTGAATCATCAGGTGACAAATCTTAGCGACAGTCAGTCCTAGAATACACGGAATATTTTTGATTGGGAAACTCAAAAGTGACTACAAAATGCAAATGCCCTCCAAAGTATCCTTTCGTTGAGACATTTTGGTGATTTTCTTTTGGGCTGTTTTGGCTTGATTTCAAAAAATCACAATGTAGTCACTGGTAATACTTTGACTACCGTTCTTCCGCTTCAGTTTCAAATTACTCAAATTACTTATCAGTCATTGGATCATGGCTGTTCGCCCGTTCCAATGAATTCAGCGAAGATATATACTGATATGTTATCGATACCGTATCGGATACTGTGGACACTCGTTATTGCTAGACTATGTAACGAAATATGATAGAAACTAAGTAAGAATTATGGGTTCTTTTTGGCTTCTGGGCCTAGGAAACCAGGGCAAGCTTACGACAACTCTGCTTGACTCTTTGGCCCTTTGACCCATGCACTTCCTATCCCAGCCACACGCACCCGGGCTTTTCGTTAGAGGATGAACCACTGATTTTCGCATAGCATGGATTCGTGACTTCTGGTATTTTATAACGCTGTAATGCATTCGCCAAATGAAACAACCACGAAAACGAGTTTTAGCCGCTACCTTTGTCCCGTAATGACTGTCACAGGTATCACGGATCGGTTGGAACAATCAATCCATAGCTAGGCGGGTGTTTCGGTACATTCAATTTACGAGCCAGGAGCATGAGGAGAGAGCATGCTAGGATCATGAGAACCAACAGGTTTAAAATGGCCAAACACACCTGTGATACGAACCCAGTTAGTGGGGAAACATACCAGTTACGAGTAATTTGATTTCCACCGTAAAATGATCTAGTTGCTGGCTAGTAGGCAGCTTTAACGCGTCGACTTTGGAAACATAGCTGTTTTCGACCGAGGATAACAGCGTTTAACCCTTATTTGGTATCAGTATTCTAGTGTTCTCATTATCCCTAGAACCTATGGGGATTTTAGGTGATCATAAATGAGTGAACACTTTCGGCAAAGCACAACAGAATATAAACCATTACTCAAGTCAAGCCATTCAGCTGGAAACCACTTCTCGTCCTCTAAATATGTCGATTTCATGCTTACAGACTGGAAAGTCTTACAAATTCAGCTCTCCGGTAGATTTTACGCAAACGAGTTTCAAAGTTTGGTTCAGGCTAGTTTGCAGTTGCATGGTGTTTAGACGAAGGCTTCGTAAACTTACCAAAGGCAACAAGTCCAAACAGAATTTGCAAAAATGCCCAGCGTCGCAAATTGTGTGTAATCAACTTCTCATGTGGTTACTACAATGGAGCATGCAAATATAATGCGGAAGATAAACTACGAGTTGTTTCCCAGTGAAGTAAGTAGTGCGTATGTCCTGAAAAATTATGTATGCCTGACCTCAAAGGCGACAAGATAGAGGGAACGATGGTGTATTCAGCTGGAACTTCGTCCATTCAGTGAAACCGCTGAAAAGCCAAAAGCACTGAACGAATGTTTCGTCCTTTTGAGAAAAACCATCAGTGCGCATCTCGGGAAATTCCAAAGAGTCTTGAAATTGCGACCTACTGGCTAACAGAAAGTTTTGAACAGACCACGTCCTACTCAGTGGTTGAACTAGTAAATCTTAGGCAGAGAGTGACTGGACAGTTGTGTGTTTTGGATTCTCGCGATTCGCAAACGTGTTATTACTTACTCTCTTAATCAAGTGGACATCGTGATTACCATATCACTAGTCCGAGATCTCCCCGAAACGGCACAGAGAAAACAATGTGCTAGATGCGGAACACTGAGCTCTGTTGTTCAAATATCCCAGACTCCTGAACAGGCGTGGCGCTAGTTGGCAATTTTCAAGTTTCTAGTGATCAGGTGTACGCATCAAATTCTTGGTAACTTGTTATTAAAGTTAATTTGCTCGCTGTGTAAGCTATCGCCACAGCTAAAACCCTTACCCTTCAAGCAGAATCGATTTTCTTCTGGCCAGCTGATGTGAATGTTGTGATATCTGTTGCTGTACATGTAGTTTCGATGCTGACTCTAGCAGACAATATGTTCAGTACGATATACGGGGAATCGAACGTGAGGCCATTTGAACAAGCACTATTTTCCCATTTAATCGCATTTCAGAATTCATGCTGTTGTGTGCGACTGCCCCCAAATTCCCACAGACCGATTTTTAGCGGAGGATTTTCTTCCCCCCATAAAATTATCCAGAGCTGACGTCTGTTTCATTCGTGTTGTTAAACGAACAAACTGCTAGTTACAATTGGTCTATTATGACGAAACACCTTTGAAACTTTGCTCAAAAAATATTGAAAGCGTACGAGGCTGGTTACAACATTTTTGAAGCCGAAACCCAGGAAAGTCATCGAAATTCCCCTCGGAGAGACGGCGGGATGCAATGACCCAACAGTTTCGCGGTCTCCATTCTTCATCCCTTGGTGCTCTGCTTCAGATGACCAGAGCACTACTTTTGTAAATTCGATGTTTAATTGGGACGGAGTTCGCTACCCGCGTACCAAAAACCATTCCAGTCCATATAGGTGATGTAGGAAATTGCCGAGAAAACTGTGGTAGAGTGAATAAGAACATGTTATTGGGATGGATTAGTTTCTTTGAATTTCCTAATCCATTATAGAAAGGGTGTGGAATATTAAGTTAGGACGAGCAATCCCACTATCTTGCTGAAAAGGTTCTCCAATGGCGAGATACAAATGAATTTTGTTGTCACGGTGCAGAAGCCGTAAGTAGATCGATGTAAGACACCCACACACGAATCATCAACTCCACTGAGGAGATATTTTGGGATCAGTGAGGGGAGATTCCTCCCGCTGGGAGTTATTGTACTTTAGCAGGTAGCTCAAGGTTTCACAAGTTCTTGAAACTCATTATTTAACGGCGCTAGGTGCAACAGGGAACTTGTGCAACACATTATTTATAGTGGAACCGTATCACGTTTCTTCCGGTTCAGATGTAAACACATGAGCTGCGTTTGCTGCCCCTGTCTGTGCCAACTTGCACTCCGTCACAAACGAGAAGGTCAGGTTTCAACAACGGGTTGCTCTTATAGCTCAACATGGGAATTCAAAGTAAAATATCATGGGTAAGTTACCTATGACGACCTCACAGATTTCAGCGCACGTCACCCAAAATTTTTGGCTGAATTAGCCATATGTTGTATTGTAGTCCCTTGTTATTTCTGTCAAAAATTTTGCTAGTGTGTCGCGCACTTTTTCGGCCGACATGGTTTCACTTTCCGAGGGCATTGATTATGACGTACTTCAGTAAATTCGGCAAGCTTCTAACGCGTCTGTTTACCGTTCATTGCTGGTCACCGCGTGGCATTGTTTCTCATTCTGATAATTTCTGCAACAGTGTCCACATGATGAAAAAGGCATTATAATCACGTCGCCTAATAATACTTCGTCGCTATCTAGAGAAAGTATGAACCGTGTCTCTTCAATCATTCCAGGGTCCTCAAACGCTTATGCCCTTTACTCTGATAATTTCTGCAACAGTGTCCACATGATGAAAAAGGCATTATAATCACGTCGCCTAATAATACTTCGTCGTAGTGTGCAATGTTTGCTTTTCGTGTCTCTTCAATCATTCCAGGGTCCTCAAACGCTTATGCCCTTTACTCGTCTTCAATCGGATGGTAGTGCATGGCAGCACACTCGGGTTGTTATTCCACCTTTTCAGAATAAATACAGCCGTGACTCAAAGACGGTTTATACTAGCTCCTGGATACAGTGATGAGGAAATATATGACACTTTGCGAAAAGGCCAGCAGATGTGTGGTAGAACCACCATCGACGACTCTGGTTAAAGATGGTTTTCTTAGGGGTGCAAAACTAGTGAAAACCCTCTTTAGATCAGTGATCGTTTGTGGAGGAGAATTCAGTTAACTTGCACGAGACTGCGTGGACGATATCCGTAAGAGCAGGAATGATTTTACTAGCTCCTTCNTCAGCTGCCCCCTTTACAGGTATGGCAGGATTTTGTAATAAGGCAAGGTTCAGTCAAACCCCATTGATGGTTATACACTGCGATCACCCATCCTTATGACTTGATTGAAAACTCTGCTGAGTGTGAAGTTTTTAGTTCACCATTAAATCTAGATACGAAAGGAGTTGCGTGCTTTTGTTCGAGTATGAGGAGTGAATTCACTGTAGCATACGGAGCACTTGTTCCTCTTTGTCCTAATAAATTGTCTTTTTAAATGATAATTTATCATTCATTTAACTCTTGCTTGTTTCTCCATTAGAGTTGTTCCCTCCAGGGTGATACGGCTCCCTAAAGGCTAAGGCAACCTATGAGCTTCCTGAATAAATTAGCTAGTCGAGTTGAAATTATGGGTTCCTATTCGCCTAATCATCCTAGTATTCACAGGCCTTTGAAATACACTCTGTTCGTATTTCTGCGGCAGTTTTGTACTACTCATGAGTAGCCGGCAGCTGCGCAATGTGTATATTTTTGGCCTTATCCGTTGAAATTCACTTATGACAAGTTTGCTTTTCCAATAAGATTTTATTTTCAGGACAAGTAGTGTGAGTGAAGGGAGAACAGCCGGACACAAATCAAAGCATGAAGAAAAACGAGAAGAGGAAATAGAGGAGGACCCAGTAAAATTAAACAGCGCAGGAAACCTCGAACAAAACGATCAAGTCGAAGGGCCGAGTCTACCCCAAAAAAGCCAGCATGAGGGAACGGAAGAGAAACCTGAGACAAAAACAGATTTTGAGCACACTGAAGAGTCAAAGCAAAGAATGGAACTGAAAAACAAATTATTAGAACGACCTGGAATATCGGGTATTTTACAAGCGTCCAATGAACCAGCAACACAATCGCACATAGCTACAAGGCTTTTGGAAAGCGTTGGAGGCATTGTGCGTGAGCAACAGGCTATGCGGTCGAAAAGGTCATCCAGACATCACAACCAACATCTCAATCGATTCGGATGGTTCTTCTTAAGAAAACAGAATCGCCGACAACGAAAGACACCGAATGAACGCAAACATCAGAAGGAAACAATCAGCGTCAGACCAAGGAGCATGGTCGGTTCAACAAGCGGATAGCCTGGATGGCCGGCACAAAAAAGAAGAGCAGGGACAAAGTAGGGAAAACGACCAATAGGAATTGCTTCAGTCAATGAGCGATGCAATCGATCATGGAAAAGTGATAGTAGACGCGGAAGAATGGAGAAGTGAAGCAAAACAAGCTCAAGTGGAACAAGGACTGCTTGCGGATAATGCAAGCCAAGAGTCATGCAGAAATACATCGCCAAATGCTTCGCCTGAACATTCAAAAACGTCCAGAGTAACTAGCCACGCCAAGCGAGTTTTGTGCTGGTTATCAGTCCCCGGTACGTTGTTGGTTCAGTAAAATGTGCAGCCTGGCTCGAGTTTTCTTTGCGTGTTCAGTAAAAAGCAAGGATAAACTTCTGAAACTTCTATCGCAAAGTCGCGATCCGGTGAGTATCACCAGTGTGGTTTTGAACACAATGGCTTTTATGGAGTCTGGTGCCTTGGTAGTGCTATCATTCAAATGTGTTCTAGTACGAACGAAAAGTCCGATTTATTTCCAAGTTATGGTAAGATTGTCTTGCATTCTAATAGCTACCAGGCTTTTCGCAAGCATACCATCGTTGTGTTCCACAGGACTCTGAAAATTTTTTTCTTAGTATTTAGTCCTGGAAATTACTACAACCATGTTCCCATTTCTATCGGCGGGCAACAATAGCGATTTCAGTGTTGGTTGTGGGTTTTGAAGTTTCTCTATCCTATGAAACCTCGGTCAATGGCGGTAATGAGTTTCCTCGATGATAATCTAACTTTTATTCCGTCATCATTCTGTAGCTCATTTTATTAAATGCCTTGGTATTCCGTCAATCTTATTCTAATTTTTTTCTCTGCAGTGAAATCAATTATTCCCTGGTTGAAATGTTGGAACGCTTGGACTTCTATCTACTATGGCTTGTATTCTTTATCGGAGTCATTTCGGTAGCAGCTGTCACGGATACACATAAGGTGAGTCTCTTATGATTAAAAAGCATAAAATCAAACACAGAATTCCTACGAATCACCACCACATATGTACAAATTCTAACGGCTTTACGCTTATCTGGGTCCATTACTAAAGATACTGAGTTTTTGGCCAAAATTTACGTACTGATTATCCTCACGACAAATCAAACGATAGACTGATACTTTTAATTTACGTCGCACGAATGATATTTCAGCATTTGCGTGGATTCTCACCTGCTAAGACCTGCCAATGAGCTCGACGGCTGTGCGCCGTTTTGTGATGTTTTTTAAAGGTCTTCCCCGTGACCAAAATCTACACAATAGGCGATAAACGTTTGTATAAAGAACGGCTGCATTCAGTTGGATGCATATGCTAGACAGGCTTTTAGCAAACGACGCGTGTCACAGGTTTGAGTATTTAATTATGGTTTACAAATTTTCCTCTCACGTTTCTCTTAGAGTGAGACTTATTCATTTGGATCATGACTCACTTTATGCATCACGAGTCACATAAGTATGACAGGTCAACATATAATGCTGATGTGTGGAAGTAATATGGCATTTAAAGGAAGAGATTCCAACATACAGGTGCATAGTAGAATAAATATTGTTCCTAGATATTCCCTTTTCTCGGGATGTTGAGCCCTTGGAGAGGAAAAATGGCGAGCTCTTTTTTTCTTGCGTGCTGTTAAATGCCACAAGCTTACCGTCATGCGTTTTCTGTGAGTATCGAGCAACGAAGTGCTCACTCACTATACACTTCACCGACGGTCCTGTCCTATGGTTATACACTGACTGGTGTAGTAGATACGATACTAAAGAGGTGAGGCAGAGTTTGGTGTATCTGGCGGTAATGCTGTGTAACATATATTGCATCCAGGTGCTATGGTGCCTAACAATGCACGTTTGTTTTCCTCTGCAGGCGTAACTGGTCCGAGCGCTGACCGCCATTATTTTCCAATTGGATTCGTACTCGTCATTGATCTGTTTGTCTAAAACGTTCTTCGACTTTTGGGAACTAGGTTCGTATTATTGATGGCTAAGGACGATCGGAGTTTGGCGCACCATCCTTCTTAGACAAGTTGATTGTGCTCGACAGACATACTTTTCTTGTCGCCCTGCTTATGTTTTGCAGACGGGAAGATTAAGTGCAAATGTATTCTAACCTTACACGAGCATTTTGCTGCAAAATGCAGGTAATGGCCACTGTACAACTTCATTCGCTATTTCACTCAGCAACTGAAGTCGACGTATGCCTAACGGTCGAATGCATTCAACGGCTCTTTCATCTTTATTTGAAACTAATAGTCGTGAACTTGAAATATTCCGTTATCAGTTTAACTCCTTGGAAGCCTAACATTTTGATTTATTGGTAATTTTGAGGAAAGTGAGCAAAATATACCCAAATAGTTCCTAAAGGAATATCTTAGGCCTATCCATAGACGATGAGTTTGTAGCTTAGATTTTAGTGAGTAGACATCTCACCCTAGAGGAGAAAATAAACAGTTTGACCATCTTGACTCGTCATCAACGCCTTTGTTATTCCGATCATTTAAAAAAACGGCTCTTTATCTTTTGCTACTCAGCATTTTGGTCAAAAATACATATCAGATGACCGTTTCATACATTTGGTCATGGTAATATCACTAATACTGAACTCCCTCGGACGAATCCTATGGGGAATGCTAGTGGACAAATTGTCATTCAAGGTAACCAGTTTTTTGTTTTGTTTCCTGTTTGTTTGTTTTATATTGTGGATGCCTCAATATCAGCTGAATGGATTACGATTGAGTTGGCCCTTTCTTCATTTTTGGCGAATAAGAGTAGGAACCATGGCAACGCTCCATTCAGCTGAAGCTGTTGGGTCAAAAGAGTGGAGCCATGTTGGCATATGTAAGTCTACTTACAGAACAAGTAGTAATGATGATTAAGCATAATAGGATGAAAAAATAAGAATAAAAAGTAAGGGTGCACCTAAGTACTTAATTTCCAATTTCATTGATATGGAACTATGTGTACGCACTTTTAAGGAGGAAGCCCACAGCTAATCATAGGGTGTTTGTGATAGGGATCGAACCCAGACCATTGAAACGGAAGTCCACAGCACCAACCACTGAGCCACTATAACTGCTTTATATTTACTCATCAGTGTACCACCTCAAAACGTTTGTGGCGTACCTGTTCGGGGGGAAACCTATCATGGGCGGTGGATTGTAGTGATTCTACAAAGATTTTGCAGTATTTTAAAGCAAGCTCCGAACCCCAATGACAACAGGATATTCTTTAGTTGGATGCCTTTCTTGGGTGTACAGAAGTGCACCCTCATCAGTAGCAGCCACTTTTTCGGCCGTAGGTGTGCCTCGGATTCTTCCACAACTGCTGCATTTTGTGACCTAATGTGCCTGAGAGACTCCAATTTTATTCGACCAAACCTTGAAATTGGTGTTTTCGGTAGCTTTTTTATCACTGTAGTAGCTCCATACGCATATGCGTCAGTTTTGGCCTAACTCAAATTCAGCCCATATGAATCTCACGTAGTCTACACAACGAAGTTTCCGACAAGCCATAAGTGACGTACTTATTGGGACAGAGGTTAAGTTATGGATTTTATCATGCAGAATGCGGCCAACCTAAGCTTATAAGCTGACGAACTATGCGCGGCGATGCTCATTTGATGAACTATGAAAAAACGCAATCTCGCATTTTTCCAGTCAGTGACTGGACACCTACGGAAAACCTGTCAACCTTGCGGTGAACTTTTGATCTGGTAACTGAAGCTACCCCTCGGATACACACATTCTCTTCAGTTAATATGCCGATGACTGGCTCTCTAATGGAGTACGTTTCAATGGAGGACCCACTTAATTACCTCGGTAATATTTATTCTAGTTGAAATCAAAAGTTAGGTATTTGTTCACTTTACTGATACGAATTGTAGGTAGCATAATTCTGTGGCAGTGTGGAATCCCTTAATCCCTTCAAAAAGAACAATGAGAAGACGTAGCTTATACAATGCTAAAGTGTTTTGTAATTTGGACTGTCAATTATAGCACATGCTTTTCCGTTAGGAGCGCAAGAAGAACAAATCAAACCATCCAAATGAAAACTGTCCTCTTGAGGTCACTGCGCAGTTTTGTCTTTTGCGCGCTTAGCTGCCTCATTCAGTACGGCTTCACTGATGGCTAACGTTCAGGGTGTTTTTAACGGGAGTTTGAATGTCTCCAGTCAGGTTTGTGATCCGCGACTGCTGATGCAGGATCCCCGTGGGTGATAAAATGAAGGGAAACACTTCAGAAGAACAGTTTTGTGTACGACCGCTGATAACGGTCAGTTCTCAAGTTTAGTTACTTAGGAAATAACGTAGCTCGAACTAGCGTGTTTCATTTTCCCCGTATTCTGTGACTTTCCGTAAATATCCCTTTTATTATACGAAATAAAAGTGCCAACTGCGATGCCTGTATCTACCAGCATATCTTAAGTGGAAATAACTGAAAACAGATGTTTTTTCTGCACACCTGATGGAAGCGCTTTAATTTACCCATCTGTCCATTATGAACTTACCGTTTAAGGTAGCGTTTATAGACGCGGGGCACATGCCTATATTATGGGCAGACGTGACTGATCTACACGGAAACTCTTGCCAATTTCAAAAGGCGGGTGATCCTAGGTAGTGTTGATTAGTGTCGAATCCCTAACTGCTGCTGTCAACGGAGGATGGAAGAATGCGTGTAGGTGCAAATAAATATCAGGAGGTTAATCTTAGATAGATATGATATTTAAGTGGTAGAATAGTCATCAGACGTCGCACATTCAGCAAACTTAGTATTTCACCAACGTTAAAAGCATTCTAAGGTCGTCGCGGGATTTCGCAGTTTATTGATCTTTTCAGAAAACAACCTAAACAAACGAATGTGGGCCTTGAAACTACCTCTACTGGTCAAAGGCACATATGGGTCCACTCAATAAAAAAGACCTCAAGCTGTTGTTTCACAAGACAGCTAATCTTCTGCTGCCAAGCATTTCTACAGAATGTCATCGAAAACGGTTTGGTTCCAATACAGGCTCATTAAACCGTTCAACAGCAAGGTCGCAGATTATTCCATTATACGGTTATTCAGGAACCACTTCCGAGCATCAAATGTAGACTTGGCTTCATGCCTACGCACGGCTTTCACTCTGAACTGTGCGAGTGATTGCCCAGCGTGCTAAGAACGTTTCACTGATTATCAGCGGTCGGAACCCATCCACACGTTGCATGGGGCAATGGACAAATTAAGCAGTTCCACACGCTTAGTGTTGCCCTAGTCATATCTCTGCGGTCAAGGTCAACAACACCGTCGTGCTTTGTACCGAACTCCTCTGTCTGCCACAACAACATGCTATGCGTTTGTTATGGATTCTTTCAAGGTGTACTTTCTGCGTCAGAGATGAAGGAAAACAACTGTGTATTTTGAATTGGCATGGGCTATGAGTCACAAGTAAATGAAAATAACACTGGTGCCGTGAATTGACGTGAATGCGTGGACTAAACTTCACAGAAGGAAACGTGACCAAACAGGATGGCCTTGATGAACACAGTCCTGTCCGGGATGTTGCCTTAGTTGGGGAGTGAAATGTTGAGGGAATCTCAAAACTGATAGAACATGTAGTGGATACCTTTAATGTTGTGAGTGGGCAAATTACCCCAAAACCATGGAGAGTAACTAACAGCGAACCTGGAGCAGGTTTGTTCGGTACGTATCTAACGATGTCCATTATATTGTGGTCCTCAGATTTCACGCTGGTCGTCAGCGAGGATCCTACATTTCTTTGACCAGCTTCGTTTATCAGTTCAGTTATATCTGACAGTAGCCGAACAAAGTTGCCGGCCATCTACTCGGAACTCCGCATCCTTGATCGAAGATTTAGTAGTCAAACTTCTCTTACGCAGGGGAATACCTCAACCTAACATTGAACGGATCGATGCTGATACAGCCTGTATTATGTGCGTAGACGCCATTGATTCAGTACAAATGTCTACCCAATCGTTAACCTTCAAATGGTCATTCCCCTTTAGACATTTCTATTTGCCTTTTCATAGCTGTCACTATACGGCTGACACAATACTCTATGTTACTTTCGCTAATTCACGTGACCATCATGCACTAGACCCACTCTAGCACTGCGTCATTGATTCACCATGGCTGGGAATCCAGTCATGTGTGAACAAACGTTTCAGCTGTCAAGCATTCCTATAGATACAAGGATTTTTTCTCTCGTTATTTTCTAACGTCGGGTTTAGCTACTGTGCGCAGTTATTGTGTTCATTTAATTCGCGTATTTTCTAGTCGCTCCCATTTCTTCTGCAACACACTCCCGTAATGCCCAGTATTTGAGGGCAAAAGGGTCGTTCTCCAACCGTGTTTTATGCAAATACGGATGTGTAGTTGTCAGTCCAATATAAACACAGTTGGAAATTCAGTCACTCTATTCAGGTAGGGCTTCCTGTGTTTGAAACTACAAAAAACCGGAAGTGGTTCAAAATCTCCTCACATTGGGAATAAAACTGTTCAATAAGTTCAATATCGAGGACACCAGTCGAAACCGGAGTTTGTACAGCCAACAAAACTAGAAATGAACCAATCAGCTCTTACATCGACGACGATTTTGAAACCTATATCTTTATGCTGTTGCTCACGTTACGTAAGATGAGTTTCAGAAATGCTGAAAAACTTCTTGAGTGCCCTTTGTGGTGAATATTAGGTCAGAAATGTCGGGGTTGGAAGTAGCGTACTCGTTTGTTTCACCGAAGTGCCAAATAAAAATCGAAGTTTCTTCTGCTCAAGAAGGCGAAATGAGCGCACGGAATATTTTGAGCAAAAAAGCAACGGAAGATACCTTGAATAAAAACAAACTTTTAGACTGACAGCCACTCAGAGCCACAAGTGGAATATCTTCGTCTCGACTCTGAAGTTTATACTCTTAAGTATTTCAGTTTCTCTGTCACAAAGTTTCTCAAATTTATCACTGAATGCCCGTGTTACGTTCACAACGCTTAAGGTTTTAGAAGTGACTTTGCCTTCAGCTCTTGACCTCCTACATTTTGTTTTACTGCTCACCATCCTTGTTTATGAGTTGGTGCCCGTACTGATAACATACGCAATATGTGCCAATCACCGTTCATATCTTGAAATTTCTCCTATGATATTGCATCAGTGACACTTAAGTCGCTAAGAGCTAGTAAAGGGATTACTTAGCTTATGGAACTCCGTTCCTCTGCTAAGCAGTCAAAATATACGAGCAGCTGTAAAAATCATATAGATCAAGAACCCAGCTTGTGTGGCAAACATAAGTAGCCAGACTACCAGCAGGACATTTAGAATGAAGTCGCACAGTGAAAAAAATTCGCACAAGCCTCTGACATGGATGAAAAAATGACTATCGTCCTCTTAGTAAATTTATTACAGCCATCCGTGTAAATTGGGGGCGAGATGGACCAAGTGGTTAGAGCGCGAATTTACTGACCGGAAGATCCGTGGTTCGAATCCGACCCCTCACTCTCGATTTCCCATCTAGGCTTGGGCAACCTGACAGTATGACAGCCCTCGTGCCTCCTTCGTGTGGCATGGCAGCTAGGCATCGAAAGGGTGCTACAGCTGAACGACTCTCTTCACAGTAAGGATCCATGTCAACACCAGTAAATAAACGCACAGCTTTAGCTATCAGAGTTATCGTTAGTCTGTCCCTACTTCCAGGACGAGCATTTGTGATGAGCAACCCCACCACTGGATTACCGGTTAGATTTACATGACCGATATTTTTCTAACTTCTACAGGTTCCGCTATGCGTAATGCTCTTTTTCTCGACCGGAGTGTTGGCCACGTTTCCACACCTCAACTACGCTACAGGACAATCACTCAAACTACTCTTCACAATCTGGGTTTGTCTAATATTCACCGTTCTGGGCGGATTTTTTACTATCATGCCGATGGCAGTAAGCACAGTCTTCGGGCCAGCTAACTTGGCGGTAAATTACGGGGTTATATTTTCCGCGCAGGTGAGCATTACATGCTTGAACCACTTGCTTGCTGCCTTCAATTTAAAAGCGACTAGATTCAAAGCACTAACGGTGTATACCGCTGCAATCAGTGAAGATGTTCATTTCTTGTTCTCTGCTCAGTTGGTTTCCAGGTTGAAAGGTGGAGAAAATTTAATGACCTGACATTTGACGTTACATATTTTGTGATAAATACTGAAAATACAATCGTTAAGGTTCAAAACGCTTCACCGGTTAGGGCAGTTTTATAAAAGGAATGGAATGCGGGGTACCATCAGCACATGAAATGCTCAAACGTTAGCTCGGTCAAACGTTTTCTGGGTGGGCGTGTGTTTCACCGGTGCACTTTTTCAACTGAATCGTAATTTTCCCAACCGTTGGTCGATTCGGCCAACTTGTTTCACGTGGTAAAAATTCAGTTTTTCCGGCCATATTTTTTGTTGTTACTGTCAGCCATTTGTTCACTTACTTAATATGCGGGACTGCATACGTGTATGAGTATACTTCACGGAAACCAATTCAGATTGGTCAAAACCGTTCCAATGGTTTTTCAGCCATACTTTGCTCAAAAGTTAACTTGAGCAAAAAGTGCTTTCGTAAAATTCCCTCTGAATAACGGAATAATATCTTGTGTGTGCTCTCTCGAGAGTAGGTATCCCTGGCATACAAAGTTCACAGTTTATACTGGATATCCTTTTGTAACTTGAGATACTTACCACCTTACTCCTCAAATTGATCCTCCTGTTCTTTTATCCTTAGGCGTTTGCAAGTATCCTATCTGGCCTCATAACTACGTTCGTCACTGACAACATCTCGTACGTGGCTCAATTCACCTGTTGCAGCGCTTTTTGTCTGGTTGGTAAGTATACTGAATGATCTGAGTCCGGCCTGATTTCAAAGCAACAAACAAAACAATGCTAGTCAGTCCTACGCGATACTGCAAAACCTTTTATCACTTTTGATATTAAGTGTAACAATTTCCTATGCTCTACATCCTATTACTGGTTTATTTTCCATAGTTGTTCATTTTTCAATTCGCTGAGTCCTCACAATAATGCTCGCTGATAAATGACTTTCAACATGACTGGTTAATTAAAGATGGAAATATGCAGTGATTATAAACGTGGGAAGACAGTTAAGCTCCAGACGTATGTCGTAATTCTGCTCTGACGAGAAATCTGTCAGGGACCACGTGAACATAGACCACTAGATTAAGTCCAACTACACATTGGTCGTATTCTCTGCCAACAGGAACCTTTTTAGACCAGTTGTATGCCAACCATAACCACGACTTATTGTAGGAATCTGATATTCATCGGTTTTTACAAGACTGTCCGGCAGCTGTTGAGATACCGCGTCCCACAATCTTTCTGTTCTCTTGTTCTACATTGTATGGTGTACATATCATCTTCACGAGTCCACTAGCTAACAGATCAAATTTCCTTCCCATTTTTAAGAAACAGAGTGGTCCTTCTGGATAGTCCATTGGGATGCCAGCTTTCTATCGACTGACACTTTCGTAAAACAGAAAAAGCGCCTTATACGTGGAAAATACTAGTACGCTTGAGTACTCTGTATGTGATACACAAGTTCACTCATTCTTCCCTCACGGCTAACAAAGGTAGTCGAATAATTCATTCTGAGGAACACTTGTCGAGTTTGGATAGCTTAAAACCAAGGCACTGTGTAGTGAAATAAGAGTGACTGCCTTTTGGTTGGTGACGTGAATGGTCAGCATTTTCAACCTCACAGGGGCCAGAAACTCCGCCCAACAATCTAGTAACCAGTGGTATGGGGTTCGTCATCTGTAATAGTAGCAGTCTGTGAGAATGATGTGCTCGACAGATTTTTACAAAATATGGTGGGGAGCGTGAACTGTGAAGGATTAATCTCTACGAAGTGCTCTGTTGTGCTACTGGACATTCCAGATGGTTAATTTTACTCTAGTTATTGTCTTGAGTAATTGTCACCCTACCTTTTTGGTTCCCCCTTATTCATACAAGCACTGTACAAATTAAACGATCTGAAGCTGTTCCGGAATCTTCTGAGCGTCTTGCTAGCCAAATGCCATTAGGTTTTTCCTCATTCCGATTACAAGATCAACCTTCGGTATTTCGTTGTTGATGAATGACTGGACTTGTGTTACTCAGTGTAGAGAGATGGCTAACCTGCATGTTGAACCTATTTGCGATGATGCAAATATGGGCGTTTTCTTTTTAGTGTAAACGACCGGCATCCTGTCACAATGTGAGCTTCCTGACAGTATTTCAGCCACCGTACAATGAGCTCCTGAACTAGGAATATTATGATGCTACGTTGGCTATTACCTGGTGTCCTCAGTGGGATCGCTTTACTTGCTGTATACACAAATGCGGGCAAGCGAAAGCATGCTACTTCTGACGCTACCTTGTTACACTTTCACGTACAACCCCTTCCCAGCCTACCCCACCACAATAGGACTAGCCTCTCTGTCAGTCCCGGCACTAGGACCGAGCGTTTTGATCGGCGGGCATCATAACCACCTGCAGCTTCTGTACGTCTGACTTCAGTAGCAAACCTAAACACTTCAAAGTCTGTTTTCAACCCTTGAAAGGCAATCTAATTAGCTTCCTTTAACCTTCGCACCCTGAAGCAAAAAGGACAAAAACAGGATCCTACTCACTGGATGCCCTCTACATTGATATATTCTGTCTGCCAAATACAAGGATAGAGGGTGCAATTAGAGCGAATGAACTAAGTGCACCCGCGTTCTCTTCCATTGTTCGGCTGCACACCGCTAATCATGCCATTGCAGCTGGATATGCTGGCGCGGATATTCTACTGAGCGGCTGGAGAGAAGCTTTTCTGCTCGCTTAGATACTCGTTACTGTCAACCCCCTGACAACGTATGTCATAGAATCTCGTGAATGAGATTTCATTCTCTCTCTTTTTGTTGTATCCGCTTACGCTCCGACGAATTAGATGTGAATCCGCCAAAGATAGTTCTTATGGTACAGTAGGTGCTTTTTTGCAATGGTTTAAAAACTCAGGTATCGTTGTATGTTGATGGGGAAGCTAAAACAGCTTAGCTTGGCGACGATGAGGCCCAGCTTGGCAGTCTTCTTGCGTTGAACACAAGTTCATGGACAACGGAGAACGCCTGCTGCAGACTTGTGCGAAACACAGACTCATCCCTTTCGGAGTACCAATTTCATACTATCATATCATTTATCTAGTCGATGCCCACGAACCAATCATCCCTCATCCGAAATAGATCATTTTCTAATAATTTCCCGGTGACTTGTGTGAACTCCGGCCATGAATCTGTCAATCACTGCGTTTCACTGCGCTTTTGACGTCTACGCTAAATGCGTACATCTCACTTAGCCATCGAGTAACCCGTGAATCCAGAAGGCAAACTAATCTATCACGACTGGCTGCTCTAAAGCTTGTTAGACGGTCCGACATCAGAAATAACAATCACTAGAGACGAATATCCTAGCTTTACTCAGTGCTGGGACTACTACCTCGATACAAATCAGCCAACCTAATTCCGGTACTGGAATTCCGATGAGAAAATGATTTTTCTGAAGGCTTAACAACAGCTACCTTTTGGTCGCAACAGCGACGCATCAATCGGAGACCGGGAAAACTTAGTGTTTACAAAGACCGTGACATTTGATGGTCCCTTCTTAATCCACCATTCCTTTTTATTTTTAAGCATCAAATATAAGTAAATATGCTTTGTATTTGTATAAGAGTATAGCATCAGTGTCAACACGGACATAGCTGACTCTCGGGATGATGATTACTCCAGAAATGGTCGATTAGTATTGTCCTTTTGGCATGTTGTAAGAATATTCTGTATAATCCTCTAGAACATTGATTTCTGAATGGTTCTGAATTGGTTATAGATAGCACAGTTTTGTTTGCCAATGACATAGTGAAGTAGGATTAGATAGCTACGTGTTGGAGACGGTGGCTGATGTACTTGATTCTCCAAAGCAGGGGCGTCCATGGACTTTTCATTGCGGAAAAAATGAATAAATTGTGTAGTGCCACAGGAAAAAAGCACGAGGGTCAATATACTGTCAGGTTGCCCAAGCCTTAACAGAAGCAGTAGAGATGCAGAGGTCTGGTTTGAATTACGGACCTTCCAATCATCAGTTCTGCGCCTTAACCATTAAGCCGTCTCGAGTTCGGAGATCAGGAGGGAAGCTATTCATTGAGGGTGACAGCATAGGTGCGTGCGCCCAAATGAGCGCTCTACTCTATTGTCTGTCAAGTGACAGCGCGCAAATGAGCGCTCTACTCTATTGTCCGTCAATACCTCTAAGGCGACGCGGAAGTTTATGCTGAAAGTTCCTTATGGTGACTGTATCTTACGACCACAGTGTTTATCAATTTCTTCGATATCACCCAGTTTTAAGGTAGAAAAGAACCATCTGAAAATGATCGCCATCATTTTGAGGTAAATGCACCTTGAAGCGATTATTATGAAAATATTGGTAGAAGTCGAGAGCGCTAATCTGACTGACACCGGCTAGTCACCTGTTTTGAGATGCCCGGACGATTCGTGTAACCCTATGCTTTAAGGCGGAATACACATAGACCTTTTGTAATCTCCTTTGTAGCGACATATC